AGTGGCACTGAGGTCTGGGAACTTCATATCCGTCCCATCCAGCTAAGCTCCATGGCCACTGGGTTATCCTCAGGCTCCTGGGAAGCCAGAATAGAGCTTTTAAGAAATTACAAAGGTGTAGTGGCACACACTTGTAAGTCCAGTACCCAGGAGACAGAGGCAGGAGGATCACTGCAAGTTTAAGGCTAGCCTGGGCTACACATAGTGAGTTTAAGGTCAGCCTGAATTACATAGTGAGACTCTTCTCAAAACAAACAAAAAACAGCATGGACAGTGACAATAAAGAAACTGGAGTCACATCGGCCTCCCCACATTGAGCATAACACCCAGTAAGCTATGAGATGCCACAGCCTCTGTGGTGCTAGGAGTAAGCATGCTCCTCTCTGAGAAAGATGGGGAGTGGTCCACCTACACAGAGGCATGCAGACACTCCAGGAGGAGCTGTCATGAGCAACTCAAGAGTGTAATCCTATGGAAATGTTCGTATTCTGGTTTCTTTCAAGCAGGATGCAAAGTCAAATTTATGAACATAACTATGTTCACAAATATGCAGAAAAAAAATCTAAAATGAAGAATGCCAAATGGTAATCATGGTCTCTCACAGTGGTGTGTATGAGGAGGGGCTCACTTAAGTAAGGAGTTTTTTTCTTTGCAAATGCTTCATATTTTCTGTTTTCTCATTAATAATATTAATAATTATTAATTATTAATAAAATATTGTTAATAAAAATAATTAAATATTAATAATAATATTTTCTGTTTTCTCTCTATGTCTTTTATGGTGCTGAAACAGATTTCATATTTTTAAGTTAACTAAGAATACATAATAGCATGGGAAAGTGGATAGTTTAAGGAAGCAAAATCAAAATTTATTCACACTATCATTTTAATTAGAGAAGTGTGTATATGTGTAGGCAGAAATAGGAGATAGAGATATGTTAAGCAGTCTGTATGATGGAGAAGCACCACGATGAGTTTCTACTTTCATTGACAGCGTAACATTGGTCATATGATTTACACAAGGTAATAAGTTTAAACTCAGCAAAACAGTGGAAGTAGATCTGAAACCACCCCCATTCCAAGCTTATCAGCCGTCTCCAGCACTGGCCAGGACTGGGCTAAATTAAGAGAGCTCCTTTGGCTCTGAGAAGCCTAAATGTGAAGGTCATCAGGCAGAGGCTGAGTCCTCAGCCACCTGTAGGGAAGTTTCTTTTGTAACTAACCCAGTGACAGAGCTCAATGACAGGGTCAACCAGTCTGATCAGAAACTTAGTTAATCCCCAGAATAATGTCCCTGAAATCAGTTGTTTTTGGGGATAAGTAGAAAGAATGTGACAGAGTCAGAAAAGTGGAGAGATGCCAAGGCAGATCTATCTCCTTTCACACTGTCCCCCTCCCCCAAAGGACAGTAGTGGAAATCCTCATCTGCTCTGTCAGCCTACATATCTCTCAGCTCCACCCACTCTCAGGAAAAGCAAGGAACTAGAAGAGATGGTTTGGGCTGATGAGTCCACTTAGCACTCACTTTTAAAGTCAAAGGACTTCTTTAGAGGTCACCCAAGCAGGCCACCCTCTCATTTGGTTGTGCCATCTGTACTGTGGGCCAGAAGATGACCTGATGACCTCGACTAACATTGTTTTTGATGCCCTGGCCATGCAGTTATAAATATGAAGATGCTAAGCCAAGGCTTTGTGACTTTCCCTTTTAAGCATTACACAGCATTTACCAGTCCTGGAGCCCAGAACTCCCAGGAGGGCATGAGGCAACAAGCTCAGAGAAAGTTCCCTACATCAAGCTACTTCAAGCAATTTCCAGGAGGGTCCCTGGGGTGCTAAGCTCCCCCTACTGTCCCTACTCAAAGAAACCAATAGAATCCTCAGGCTCATCTTGAGTGATGGGAAAGCTGTGCCTCTTCTATCCCATCTCAACTTCCCCAGGCCCCAGAGCTATCCCATAGCCCCCCAGGCAGCAGGAATTTACATTATTTATGTCCATTTATCCCTGCAGCCCAGGCTCAGAGCATTATAAGCCAATGAAATCCATTCCTGGGGACAACTTGGTGACAATGATGAATTCTTGGTCTACCCTGAATCCTTGCAGCTTGGGCCTCCATGAACATAGGAATCAGTTTGCCCCTTCATAGCTAAGAATGCTTTCAAAAATGTTCCTTATTTGCTGATTGGACTGACAGGGTATGGCACACAGGAAAGCCATCTGGCCGAGAGCTCCTTACCATACCTGCTCAAAAATCACCTGCAGCCAAGACAGTGTATTTCATACAGTCCCCTCACACCAGCCTTCATTCTCCCAGTCCAAAGGCTCTGACTGATGGCCCAGAGGAAGCCTACAAGGACATCCAATGCCAGAGAGAAGGCAGAACGACAGGTGTGTTCCTGGTATCAGTGACCCTACTTCAAAGTGTGGTCAGACCACAAGAACAGGCTGACAGGATTTGAATGTGGTTTGTTCCCCTGAAGGTCTTTCGTGCATTGGAAGCTTGGTCCTCAGTATGGAAACATGGGGAGGTGGAGGAACCTCTATGAGGAGAGGTCTACAAGAAAGTAGGTCATAGGTCTCATGGCCTGAAAGAATGAGTTAGTTCCCACTAGTGAGGATTGTTATGAAAAGAGAAAGATGAGCCTCTGCTTAGTTTCTGACCTTCTGTCTCCCCGTGGAATCTCGTATTTTTCTACTCCCCTGTTGTGATGTCATCTATTTTGAGGCCCTCACCACAGGAGCTAAACAGAAGCTGATGCCACACTCTTGGACTTTTAGAATTGTGAGCTAAGAAAACCTCTTTTCTTTCTAAAGTATCCAGCCTTGACAATTTTGTTATTGCAGAGGACCTTCCAGGCAACTGTCCTTGAAAGAAGAGCAGTTGTTTCCATTTGGGCTGTGCCTGACCCTATATCCATGTATTAATAGGTACAGAGCTGGCTAGGACTTTTCCTTATCCTTTCAGTTGGCTTTAAGCAATGCATGTTGGTCTAGCCAAGGTGCTGGTGGTAGGCTTTGAAGACGGCAGGCATGTTTCCCTGATAACCCATAATGATAACCCACTGCTGCTCATTAATACAAGCTAGGTTGAGACAGGACAAAGAGCCAGTGCTCCACACTGTCAGCTGGGATTGAGCCTCGAGATAGAGGCTATGACTTCATGGGGTTTGAAAGATTACACATCAGAGCCGAAGCACCAGACCTCAAAATATGAGATACTATCTCAATAGTATAATGCAAATCATTTTTTCTGCAATATGCAGAGGTAAACACAGGCCTCCTACCTAGCCCAGCTCACAGTACTCACCTGCTTCCTGCAATTCTCAGTCATTCATCCTCAAGCCACCTCTTCCTGACTGAATAAAACCTGGGTGCAGCCCTGGGTCAAGGCCTTTGTTCGGATAGCCATCCCCATGGCTGAACTTAGGACCCCTTGGTTCCCCATAATTATAAATATGTTTTAGTGTCTTTATTTTTGCCATGGATTGCACTGGGAGTGGTAGATTGGAATTAAATTGGTGGGATTCCAATAACATATTTTGGGGATTATAAATATAGACTTCTTGGACTGAGACAAGAACCAGGAGGGGACTCCAACAGTTATAGTAATAGAAAACAGGTTGATACCTAGACCAACCCCAAGTCCCCTGATTTCCATGGTGCCCATCCCAGGTGGGTATAGTGGGCCCAAATATAGGCAAGCTTATGACCATGAGAGACACCAGATTCTGTAGCCCAAAGCTTCAAGCTGCCCCATGCCCAAGGAGACTGGCCAGGTGGCAAAGAGCAAAAGCTGAAGTTCCCCAGGAGAAGAAGAGTTAACACTCCTCTCCCCAGACATGAATGCTCATCCTCCTCAAACATCCAAAACCCATTCTGCTTTGTGCCAGCTTTCCCAATAAATCCAAGGCCCACAATGATTTACCAAGAGCCTTGGTTATTGGAAACAGCAATCTCACTTACCCAGAGCCTCGCTGAGAACAAACCATAATTTAGAGCTGGATTTATATTGTTTGTTCTACAGCAACAAACTCAGCAAATCATAAATTCCTTCTGAGATGAAAAGTGGAAATTGACAATATTTATGAACTTAAAAGGCAGAGAAGGGCTTGACCAGGCCTTTGATTTGTAACTGTAACTCCTCTTGGTGGCTCCGCCAAGGACACAGCTGCTGTCCCAGCCCTAGGAGCTGGACTCGGGCCACAGCACGGAAATAGGGCAGGGAAGAGTGTGCCAAGAGGTGTGTCCAGCCCCGCATGGGATGGTGTGTGATGCCAGAGGCAGGACAGGCCCAGTGCCCACAGAGACATACAGCTGCAGGGAAAGTGAAGCCAAATGTTCAGATCATGAGCTCCTCCCATGGAGGTGAGACCTGTTCGCCAAACTCATCTTCTATCAGCCAAGACTTAAGGCTACTAGTGTGCTACTTTCTCAGTGCTTTCATCTATAGACCACATACACCAAATACCACCTATGAAAGGAAAAGGACAGACACAGCTGCACCAAGAATTCCACCTAATGGATGCACATTAGGAAGTACATGAGGAAGTGAGAGCCTCTTGCTTTTCCTGATGTCTCCTCCATAGTTCTTTTTTTTTAGTTCCCTGTTCCAACTCTCCATTCTCCCTTGCACCCATCACCTGACCCTCATGCTTTCAGCCTTGCCCAGTACTCCTCACTCACCCACTGAGGGGTTGGGTGGCCCCAGGGGTGTATTTTCCTGGTATAGTCACAAAGGAGCTAAAACTAGGTCATCTCCACATCACCACATCACTGCCCCTCTTCATCACCAGTGTCCATGTGGACAAGACATGGAGAAGCCCCCAGCCAAGAGTCCTACAGGCCCTGGGATGTCACTGGCTGCCCTGAGCAGCCTCTGAAGAAACATCTGGCTCAAGAACCAGCCAGGGCCATGCACCATTGTTTTGATCCCCAGGCAGCATGGTGCCTTGGGAGCCAGCTGCCTCCTGGAGCTCCACGGGGATTGCAGTGGGGCACTCACCCAGGCTCTCTAGCATGGCATCCAGCACACTGGCAGCGGCACTGGCAATCCCCAAGTTCTTGGAGTTGAGGTTGTCTGCAACTGCAATGATGAGGGAAAGCAGCATGGGGTTCACGCTGTCCTTCAGCAGGGGTATCATCTTGGCAAGGGACTCCAGAGCCCACTGGTTCACTTTTTTGTTGGAATCCTGAAGCCTTGGAGTGAAAGCATCAAAGACCTTTTGAGAGAACAAATGCCAAGAGCCCACCATCAGTCTGCCAGAGGGACAAGAGAACCAGAGACTCAGAATTTCCAACATGTGCCCAGCCCCTCGGGCACATCCAGCAGGCTTTTGGCATTGCCAAGACCAAGTGGAGGGCAAAAGTTTCCCTGAGAGTTCAGGTACAACATCCAATCTGGTTCAGTTTTCCAAATTGAAGCTGCATGCACCAGAGAGAAAAGATGAGAATGCAGAGGTGAGCGACACTCACCTGGACCAGGTTGGCCACAATGAGCTCTGGCTTGGTCTTGCAGTGTTCAAGGAGCCGCCCCACACCTTCCATCCGAGACTGGTACTCTTTGGCCTCCAGCAGACTCGTCAGTTCCCGAAGTTGCTCTGCTATCTCCACACCTCCCCGAAGGGAGGAGTGCGTCACCAGCCTTGGGCCATAGGAGCCAGATCTAGGGGGGGAGGAGGATCTGACCCCTGGGGAAAGAGCTCCAAGTGATGACCACGTCTGCTGCCCTGTGCTCCTCTTACTGGCAGGTGGGGCAGAGACAACTGTCACCATGGTTTGGTTCTCACCCTGTTCTCCTCCACCTGCTGCTTGGGAACACTAATCTTGGGAATCCTGGGAGTCTCTTTTCTACCACCTTCTCCCTGATGCCTCTATCCTGCACTTGGTTGGTTAGGCTTTGCTCCCATTCCTCCAGTATCTGGGAAAATGTTGAGAAGCCTATTCCCTGACATTGGATCCCATGCTCATCAGAGCTCTGGGGCCAGTCCAGCCAGTATGAGAGCAGCTCCATACAGACTCCTAGCTCCCACCCTCAGTACAAAGCCAGAGTCACTGAGTTCATGCTGTACACTGAGATCACACCTAACAGGACCCAACACCATCCAACTCCCACTTGTTCTTCCTGCATCCTACACTCTTGCCTACCAGAGCTGTGCTGCACACTGACAGAAAGGTAAGAAACATGGTCTTTGCCTTAAGGAGCTCATGGACCAATGGAAGGCAGAGTTATAAAGAACAAGGAGCAGTCACCCACTCTGAGAATGTGGGGCACAGAGCCATTTTGGGGAAGGCAACAGGGGAGCTGATTCTTTTTTTTTAAATTTTGTGTGTGTGTGTGTGTGTGTGTGTGTGTGTGTGTGGCCAGCTCAGCCCACCAGGGGGCGGGGCTGGCTGGCATGTGGTGCTGGGGGATTGAACCGTGGTCCCTGTGCTTTGCTAAGCTTATTCTAAGTAGGTGCTTTAGATTCTTGCAGAATCAACAGGCTTGCTCTAAGTGAGGACTGGACTGCATAAAGAAAAGCACAGCAGGGAGGCAGAGTGCAGAGTGGAAGGAGCTGCTCTGACCTGGTGGGCTGAGAGAGGGAGAGTGCAGGAAGTTACTACTGCAGAGGTAGGCCTTAGCTGGCACCCTTCTAAGGAGTCAGATATGATCATCCGAAGAAACTGCAGAAGAATTTGAATTTTAAACATAGGAGTGACCATTGGATTCCTGCTTAGTTTCTAGATGCTCCCAGTACTACCCTTCAGCACTTCCACTAGACCACCTGGTCTGCCTGGGCTTCAACTCTGCCTTTCAATCAGTGCCAGGTTGGCCATTCTGATGGCCAAAAGATCTCTGATCTAAGTGAAAACTGGGAGCCAGGCCAATAGCACATCTCACTTATCATAATGGAATGGAACTCCCTTGGCCAAGACTCCAGGAACCAACTCTACTGGTGGGTGTTCTCAAGCCCAAGATTTGGTCTGCCCAAGATGTGGCTGGAGGACACTTCCTATAAATCCATCCATCCCTATTGTAAAACCAAGCAGATCTCAGCCATACCCCAAATCCATGATCTACCCCAGATCCACCCCTAGCCTTTGGAAAGCAAGATGCCTCTGCAGGCAATGTTGGACATGGAACCCCAGAGAGACAAGAGCAGCCATACCCCTCCTCACAGGGCAGCCCGTTCTCACATGCCACCAGACTCCTTGACACCTTGCGGCCTTGGGCAGATGGAAGTTCATAGTTATCTTCTAGTCCCTTGAAAAATATATGCAGAACTTAAGCCAAAATGAGCATCCCTTTAGTGAGCTTCCCAACATTCCAGTAGAAGCCCTTAACAAGAGGAATAAACCCTTCCCCCTGGGAGAGCTCAGGGTCATAGTTGAGCCTTCCAGAGCCCTGGTGGTGACTGGTATAGAGACTAACATCCCCACTGAACAGATGAAGGTGTGGAGGCCCAGGAAATTCAAGGAACCTTTGCTCCAGGTAGGAGCAGGTAGGAACACAGGGGACAGAAGCACATTACCCTACCCAGAAAGACTGGTGGGGTCCAGTCCCCGCTCCACTGCCCACACAAGGGCTGGCAGGCTCTGCTCTGACCTCACCCTCAAAGACTGCAACTCAGTGTCCTCTGCTCACCCGCTGCTTGATGGTTGCCATAACTTTTCGCAAGTCATGAGATGGAAGGGACTGCTTCAAAAACGTGTCAAACTTAGCATTTGCCATCAAGATAGTCACCATCCTCCGGCCATAGAACCTGTCAGGGGAGAAGGAGGAAGACGGAGGAACAGCCACAGAAGTACATGACAAATTTTTCTCTATAGCTTTGCTTAAGTTTCCTAACTGACACAGGAAAGATTTTAATACTTTTTCTATTATGAAAGCAGTCCCTACATAGTAAAATTTTTGATTCATAAAAGATGGATAGCACCCACAATGTCATTACCAAGAAAAAAATCACTATTAAAAGTTTCCATGTTTTCAGCCAGGTATGACTGCACATACCTGTAATCCTAGCACTCTGGGAGACTGAGGCAGGAAGACTATAAATTCAAGCCCAGCCTGAAAAATTTAGTAATTTAGCAAGAGCCTCAAATTTTAAAACAAAATTACATTTCTGTACTGAGTTTAATCCCCAGTATAGCAGAAAAGAAAAATATATACATGGTCTCATAGCCTGTCTTCTGTGTACATACATTTTGATTGATATCAGAACTGTGCATATATGTATCCAGTCATTTCATTTTATCATCAGTTTTCCTTTCCTATCATTTAATACTCTTCACAAGTACCCATTGAACTACCCAATATTATGTTGAATGACTAAACTGAAACAGATCTGATTACTGTCTAGAATGCGAAATTCAGAAACCTGAGAAGCGCACAAACAGGATAGCACAGGAGTGAGCGGTCAGCACTACTTAGTATGCAGTGGAAGCTGGGGAAAGGAATCGAGGTGAAGCGGTTACTGAGGAGGCGACTCCAGGATTGGGATTGGTGGATGAGTAGGAGCTCACAAGTAAGACAGGACCGGGGAGTAGGAAGGAGGAGCCATTGCAGGGCTCAGTAGGTAGCCTGGCTCGAGAGCAGGGAACGCTTGAGGAACTGTGAGCAGAGGTTCACCACAGGGAGAGAATGGGCTGGGGACGAGGGCAGAGTCCTGTTCTGGGAGACACCAAGGATGTGGGCTGAGGCCTGTGGGCAGTGGGGAGCTGAGGGGTCTACACGTTAGTCTAAATGTCTCTGGCAGTGGTATGGAGGGCAGATTGGTGGGGGTCAGGCTGGAGCCTAGGAGGCCAGTTCAGAAGCCACCGTCACGGCCCAGGCAAGACACCGACACCTGCAGTAAGGCACAAGGGGATCAGAAAAGGCAGCTGCAGTCAGGAGCTTCTTACAGGGCTAAAGCTACAGGATTTTGTGGCTGCTCAGACATGGAGAAGGAAACACCTAGAATTAACATATTTCATCCAACCTAAGACTCTCCTGATGGTAAAATGCATCGTTACTTTAATTTTCACTAAAGTAAAACAGAAAAAGAAAATGCTGGCAGTTTCCACTGCCTTCCGGACACTGAATCACGTCTAAAAGGTCACTACCTTTTTTGTTCAGGTAAAGATTTTGGTGGTTGCTTTGCAACAGAATGTGGAATTTGGGTTGTTCCTTCAACAATATTTGTTCCCTCGCTGTCTAACTCATGTCGCCCTGTTTTGTTCCCACACCTCTCCCACACATGATGAATAGTGACTATTCATCATGAGGCCAAGTCATAGTAGATTTCTACTTTTGAAACTGTAATTAAACCCAACAATTCTCTGTAGAGTACCCAAATTATTATGATTTCTGAAAAGGAGTCAAAGGGTGGGCAAGCCAATGAAGGGCCACGCCCCAGTTTCTACAATCCAAATGTAATTCAGAAGTTTATACAAGCAGCAACAGCGAAGTCTGCAAATGTGTAAGTAGTGAAACACAAGTGATTCCCACTGCCTAGCAGTGACTGTGAGAGTGACTATTAGATCCGGGTTGGTATAGGACTTACAGCATGGGGGAAACGCATCTTAGTCCAGTGAGGCCCAGTGTTCCTGCTTTGCACCTTGGGTGGCTTGGTAAATAAGGGTGACTTTGTACAATAGCTGCAGCACAGAGAGGCAGCTTGGGAGGAAACAATGAGTTTCTTTAGGGACACTTTTTGCTGAAGGTAACAGTAGAACATTTGGTGACAGTTCCTCTAGAGATACTACAGATTGGAAGCTGATGTTTGAGAAAAGGTCTGGGCTGGAGAACCAGACTGGAAAGCATCAAAGTTTGCTGGTGGGTGGAGCCTAAGGGGTGTGAGCCCGAAAAAGAGGAGCCTGAACAACTGAAGCCACGCCCAGCCACCTCTGTTCAGATTGTAGGCGGGGAGCAACACAGCCCCTGGCAACAGGGATGAACCAGAGCGCCAGTGACACAGAAACCAAAGTGCAATCGCAGGGCTCCAAAAAGGAAAATGAAACATAGCCAGCATTGTCCGAAGTCAGAGGGCTCTCAGACAGGAGAGGACATAAATCTGTATCATATCAGGTCTTGATTTCTAGCCCTCTGCCAAGAAGGACAGATAAACAGGAAGTGAAGATAAGCATTCTAACTCTGTCCACCACTGTCCCTCTTTCAGCCCTATTATTCACTCAGCTATTCTCTTAAGAACCTCAGAGGCATCTTCCATTGGTCTTTGAGCCCCTAGCCACCATATGCTGTTGGCTGTGCCTTCACTGTACACTGAAGCCATCCACTTTCATAGCCACCTGTTTGCTGTCCTCCTCCACTGGGGCCCTCTCTCCCACCATCAATCCTCCACTGAGCAGCCAAGAGATTTTTTTTTAAAAAAAATCAAACAGCTAGCAAGCATATGAAAAAATAAGACCCAGTCATTAGGTAGAAGTCTCTCTGAAAACAATAAACTGTCACTTTCACAAAACCATTAGGTTGATAAAAATTGGATGTCCAGATACTGCCACATAACAGTCAGGCCCTGGGGATGTAGACACCTTGGCTGGCACAAGAGAAGCCGAGGGCCAGGACATGGGGTAGCCTCATCCCACTGGACCTCCAATGCTAAGGACCCTCAGCTTATCCATGAAGATCCCAGCTCAGCTCTGTGGGGGCCAAGACACATGTGGGGCAGGTAGGCACAGCACCCTTCTCCATGGGGGGAAATGACAGAAAGGAGCACACAGAGGGGCTAGTGGGTGACACATGTGACATGGCCTCGAGAGCCTGCTGGCCACACATGGACGCATCAGGATAGGGTTAGAGCCAGAGCACTAGACACACATACTGACATTCAAAAGAGGTGCTGATAACTGGCCCTCCTCTAACAGCTAGAACCAACTTAGCCTCAGTCTTCACTTTGACAATCAGATCCCACTTCAAATCTTCAAATTCCTCATAGCGCTCCTACTAAAAAGTCTTTCTATCACAAGATCCCAAATTCCAACCCCTGACCTTGGCTTCTGAGGCCTCTGTGGCCTGTCCCACCACGGCTTGGCTGTGTTTTCCCCCAGCCCAGCCACCTTCTTCCTCACACACGGAGCTGTTTTCCTGCAGCAGCCTTTGTCCCATCTCCTCTGCCTACATCATGCAGCCTGATGCATAGAGGCCTCCATCTCACCGGTCAGTTCCTAGATCCTCCCCACCCCCTTGAGTCTTTGCTGCATCTTACCTTCAGGTCCCTTATGTGTCTAAAGCAATCACAACATTTACTTGTTTATTATCTATCTCACACAACTAGGAGGTGTGCTCCCAGATAACAAGGGCTTAATTCTTCTTATTTGCTTTATCTCTAATAGGAAAATCAATGCTCATTAAATACCTTGAGAAAATGCTTGAGTGGTTTTACAGAGAGTAAAAGTGGGGCTGGGTAGAGACCAGAGTGAGATCACATCAGGCGGAGGGGGAAGGGGAAGGGAGCTATGGAGGCAAGGGGCACTGGCCACTCCCTGAAGGGGCCTGATATGATACTGGAGAGAGATCGGACGATGGCTGTACGGGAAGGACGTGGCTTCTGTCCATCCCACTGTACCTTTGCATGACCCAGGGAAGCTGCACTGAAGGGCCTGGCCCCTCGGGGCTGGTGACTTGCCTTCCCCATCCCAGACTCTGGACCCAACCTACCTGGTGTCCTGGTTGGAGTCCTGAGCCAACCTCACCAGAGTGTGCACCAGCACATCAATGCTGTCCCTGCTGCCGGACAGAAGCTTCTCGGCCCCTATCTGCTCCAGGACAGCTGAGAGGTGCTCGGCTGTGCACTTCCGGACTAAGGGGTTTCGGTGGCTGAAAGAAAACCCAGTCACACAGAGGCATCAGTCACAGGGCAGGACTGGGAGCCTCAGGCGGGCACACAGAGATTGCAGTCATACACCATAGCCCCTCTATCCACGCCCACCATGGCTCCAAAACCTGGCGCACATGGGCTGGGGAATCTTTGAAGAAAGGGCAGTCAGTTCCTATCCACAGGGTTAAAGGTGACAACAGGAACAATGAGGGAGCGAAGAAGAACTGTGTGAAACTATACGCTGCTCCCCAGTTGTGGAGCCCAAGCGCCTGCCCTTCGTCCAGAGCTTCCCCATCTTTCCCCCAACTCGGTCTGTTTCTCCCCTCCCCTGCCCAGCCCCACAGCAGAACATGATACTTCTTCTTATGAGGCAGCACTTTCTTTGTTCCAAGGATGCATGTGACACCCTGGGGACTCTGCCCTGAGTGGGTCCTGGGAACAGGGACCCATCTCTCTCTCTAGAGCAACTCAACAGAGCCTGACACTTAGCAGCAGCTGACACTTAACAGAAGCTTAAGGCAAGCTTGCTAAACTCAACTAGGCGATTTGCTCACTGTAACAGGTGGGACCTGAACCCTGATAGGAGAAACACATCAGCACGTCACCTCTTTTGCACAAGATCTCTGCATCCGCATTGCCGCAGGCAGCACTGACCCTTTCCCCGGGGTCCTGTGTCAGTGGAACACAAGGACATCACAGCCCTGCTCAGCATGGGCCATGGGCCACAACACTGAAGCTGAAGCAGAGTTTGTACTGCAGCAAGATCCCCAGGGGACTCAAACACACAAGCCTCGGGACATCCGACCCTGGTCCCATTGATAATGACCAGTGACCTCACGCTCTGTGCCAGGTACTGTGCCGAACTCTCGCATCAGCTCCACAAGCTACTATTATTACCATCCTTTTGCTGGTGAAGAGGCTGAGGTAAGAGGAAGAACCCAGAAAGAGTACAATTAATTTCACCCCATTCAACCACTCAGTGACTGTTGAGCAGGGACAGGCTTTGTTCCAAGCGTTCTCTCACAAATCAATTCATTGGCTCCACATAATCGCCTCATTATTGTCCCCATTTTACAGATGAAAAGACAGAGGCCCAGAAAGGTAAAGGAACAATCCAGTATGAACTCAGACAGTGTGTCTTAGAAGTGTGAACTCAGTGTGCACCATCCTTTGGAGTATGCAGTGGTAAAGTAGCTAAGGTCTGTAGGCTGTTGTGGCAGGTGCTGGGATCCACTGAGAAACTCCCTGTGTCTGTGTTAACTGACTTACTGGGCAGAGAAGTACTTGGCCCAGGGAGAGACAGGGTTTGGGAAATGCCTTTGGTTTTGCTTCTGGTTTGGTTTTGACTTAGGTGCAAAGCAAACCTGGCTCCAATGGTAGCCAACTCCACGTCTCTCCCCAGGAGAAACATACTTGCATGTTTCACCCTCCACACTGGCCCAGATTTCATCAGAAAGAAGCAGTGCTCCCCTGAGAGAGAAAAGAGCCCCTGGGGCACAGCCAAGGGTGTGCCACAACCCTGTATCCTGGGACGTTACCATGGTCACCATGCGCTTCCGGACCTTGGAGCAGAACAACACTCCTGCTTCTCTAGCTGAACTTGCCCCATTCTCACCCAGGAAGGTAGGGAGGGCAAGGTGGCCCTCTGGCATCCTAAGGGACTCTCTACCACCTCCCTTCCCGCTTCCCTTCCACCCTGTTTCTGTCTCCTACACTTCCCATCTCCTTCCACATCCCAGGCCCTCCCTCCTACCCACCTCCCCCGACCACCCCTACACCTCAGACTACACTCAGCACATACTAGACGCCCGCTGCAGTGAGGGCTGTCAGGGCCCGGGCAGGGGTCACGTTCTCCACCATGGCACCCAGAGCCCGGCTGGCGGCGCACTGGATGAACTCGCTGGTGTTCCCCATCTTCTGCAGCAGGCAGCGCGTGATCGCCTCAGCCTCCTGGTCCATGCTTTTCTTCAAAGCCCGGAAAAGTTCTCCCATAGTGCTGATGGCCAAGCGGGACACCTTGGAGCGGAGGTTGGTGACCTTGGAGAGAGGAAGGAGAGGGACCCTCCAGGACTGCTGGACCCTGTCAAGGGCTCAGGGACGCATGGAGAATAGAATGTCCCCATCTCTTTGGCCACACTCTCCATCACCCCTTGCCACACCAAAAACAAGTGCCCTACAGCAGCTCTGCACAGTCTCATTTCATAAACATCAAAATTATGAATCCCACCATTATTATCTGAAATTGACGTCAGTCCTCAAAGTGTGCTCTAAAGAAGTGTCTGACTTGATCTGACAACCACTGTGAGAAGGCAGCATAGGACACTCATTTGGCAGAGGAAGACACAGAGCCAGGCCACACGCAGGGAGGACAGCCGCCACAGGGCCAGCATCAACAGCGTTCTCTGTGTCCAAGCCCTCAAGCCCGGCTGGAGCGGTCTGCTCCAGTGCGTCTCACTGCCTCTCTCTAGGGCCTGGGGACAGGCTGGGGACCTGGCCCGGAACATGCTCTCTCCTCAGACATTTTGATGCTGTGACACAAAAGGACATAGGGAATTCTAGATGTTTCAATTCCCACAGGCTGCAAATAAGGACACACTTAGCTTTGGTGTTCCCGTGAGGGGTGGTGGCCCCTCTTACCTTGGTGTCACCCATGTTCTGGGGAGCCACAGCTCCCACCACAGCTGATGCAGGATGTACCTCAAAGCCTGCACCAGGGAAAGGAGGGGGGCCAGGGGTGGGGGCACAGCACACGGTGGTGGGGAGGTCTCACCTCTCCGGTCACTGCCAAGGACACATCATGCAGCCGCCCCGTGAGGACCTCCGGGTGACAAGCTGCCAGGCGCTGGATGCCCACCAAACCCTTCTCCTTCAGCTGCCTGAGAATCAAGGCCAGATCTGTCACAGCTGCTCCCTCTGGAGCCCAGGCTCCTCGCCCACCTGAGGGTCGCTGCCCCCACCTCAGAGTGAGAGGCAGAGCTTCCTAGGCCTGCTGTCCTAACCATGCATTTGGCATAAACATTTTGATGGTGCTGGAAATTGAACCCAGTGCTTCTACAGTGAATTACATGCCCAGCCTGCCCTTCCTGCCCAGCCGTCTCCTCTCTATTTTGAGAGAGGGTCTTTCTGAATCACTAAATTGCCCAGGCAGGACTTGAATCTGTGATCTCTTGCCTCAACCTCCCAGAGTGCTGGAATTACAGACATGTGCCACTACCATCTTATAGGGATCCCACCTAGTCAGCCTTTAGTGCCAGTAGTTCTGGGCCTGAAGCCATCCAGGACCTGTTTGGGTCCCCTCACTTTTCAGAGTGAGGCAGAGACCTAGTGGGCTTTCTGTGAAAGTTCTGAATCGAAGGTCACCACTCATGACTAAGCCGGTGTCTCACTGGGACAGTGGGAGGCGCACTCAGAGCACGTTTACTTGATCTAGAGAAGTAAAGGACTGTGAGCTTCTTGGTCCCCCTACTCTGAAGCCACATTCACACTTGTCATACTTGGCTCTGGCATTTCACAGAACAGTGCACAGGGGCATTTGGGAACCCAAGGCAAGTACTGGAAACTAGAGACACCACACACTGGTATGTGCACACCTATGCACGCACGCATGCACATACATGCACACGTACACACACACACACACACACACAAATGCTTTTCCTTCCACAGTACTAGGGCCCAGGGAGAGAAGGACAACTGGGAAAAGAAGTTCTTCTCCAGACCTTCCCACCCCACCCCAACCCAGGTCGTGGGGCACAAAGAGAAGGGGTCACCTTACCAGTCACTACTGCTGAGACCCTGAAGGGCATCCATCAAGCCCAGCTCAGGATTGGAGAAAGGCCGCAATTCCCTGAAGATTCTAAGATCCACCTCTTCCTCTTCTTCCTTCCATTCAGGAGACCCCAAAGTGAGCACCGCAGGTAATGAGTTAGCTACATTCACAGGAAAGGAAAGATAAGGCAAGCTCACCCAGGAGGACAGGTAAACACCCCTGGAGGCTGCTCTTCCCAACACTTCCCTCAAGGCCTGGCCTAGTTTAGCCCAGTGAGCTGTTCCTGAACAACTCCCTAATCTGGCCATGTTCCAACCTCATTCCCACCCAGAGCCTCTGCTTTTGCACTCCTATGTCCACCACCTTATGAGGTTGTCTGAACAGGGACAGATGGCCCAAGGAAGGCAGGAACAGTAAAAATCACTAAATAGAGTCAGGGAGATAGCTCAGCAGTGTAAGTACCTGCCTGGCAAGCACAAGGTCCTGAATTCGATCCCTGGTACCAAAGACAAAGCATTGAGGAGACAATGTAGGGTCGAGATGGAGCCACCCAGTTACAGGGACTGATAACAGGCAAGAATGATTAAATAACAGGGCATGTTTTCTGGTCCTTCTTTCCTTGTGGAACAAACACTAGAATCCTAAATCCTGGGAGGACAGGAAAGAACTGCAAAGGCCTCCTATCTAGTCCAATGCCCTAGGCATACACCAAGCTAGCAGGGATTCTGAGAAGCTGGGGTCCCACCCAGAGCCCCTCCAAATCCTTCATGCAGCAAAGAAAGGAGGTCTCTTCTAGGCCAGAGCTCTCATTACCACATTACACTTCCTGGTTAGCCGTTCTCA